GCTGAGCGTGTAGTGTGTTTTATTTGCTACACGCAGGTAGATAGAATGAATGATTGGCTGATTCCTGGCAGCAGAAGGGGCGAGACAGTCGTGGTGGATCATTGAACAAAATAAATAATTATGTTGTTATGAGACATGTTTAAAAGTCGCTTCCGCATTATTATTATTAAACACTCCGTATTTTCTACAATTATGTATGGAATATTATTTATAAATAAAAATAATTGAAATTTTTTTAAATTATCACGATTACCAAATCAATACTTTAGTCCAAAAGGGGCTGCAGACCTGGACGGATTAGGGTGTTACAATTTGGTATCGGAGCAAATGGTTTTAAACCCGATCTTCGGATCAAAACTTGGATAAAAAAAATATATATTTTACATATTATATATGTATTTCGGCCAAAAAAAAAGATGTCAATCAAATCCACGACTCTCGCATCCCTCTGCTCCAGGAAGGTAATAAAAAAATGAGTATTGAAATCGACTGTATCAAATTTTATAGATGTCAACTGTTAATTCGGAAATGATATCAAGTGTTGATTCAAGTCGCACTTTCGTACTTGGTAAAAGACGAAAGAACAAACGAAATGTCTATGACTCGTTGATACGTTACCAACGTGCACATCGATTCGCAAGAATAATGAAACGAATGATTTATCTGCGCCGCAAGGCTGCGTGGGAACAAGATGACCCAGAAGAGACGTTCAGCGTAGACTCTGCCAGTAGCGTATGTGGGTCGGGCAAGGAAGACCCATCTGCAGATTCGGCACGATCCAACCAATCGAACGCAAACGCTTAGAAAATTATCTTATTGTTGGTTTCAAATCCATTGATTGTATCAACTGTTGTAACCCTTGCAATTCCTGTCTTAAACTCAACTACTGAATAAAAGAATCCTAATAAAGGAATTTCTGTTATTGTAGAATGAGTCAAGAATCTGCCCACGGACAAGGCAACAATAATGAACACGTCAGTGTTCATACTGAAGCATCTAGCTTTACCCATTCCGTCCAAAATGAACCCGTCAATCAACAAAATGTTGGGAATAACCCGAACGCTGATGGTCAACCCAACCTTGTGATTCCCACATTCCTGGCAAATGTATTACAACAGATAGCCAACGCACCAATGTTTCAACCACCTCCACCACCGCCACCGTGAGTGATAACCTACAAAACATTAAGGGATAATGGTGCAGAATTATTCATTGGGGATCGCATCGGTGAACCCCAAATTGCATGGGACTGGATCGAGCAGACTGCTCGAGTGTTGGAGGATCTTAACGTACCCATTGGCAACTATCCCCGACTAGCGTCTCAGCTGCTTCGCAAGGAAGCCTACGAGTGGTGGAAGAGGACTGATGAGAGTGCAGGAACCCCTAAGCCATGGACATGGACACATTTCGAATGGGCATTCAAACAAGAATATATTCCAAAACGTTTTAGTGAAGAAAAACGTAAGGAATTTGTCGAATTGCAACAGGGAGACATGACACTCCCCGAGTATCGTTAGAAGTTTACCAGTCTTGCTAAGTTTGCACCAACCTTGGTGAGTACCCCAACCGATCGCGTCGAGGAATTCAGGAAGAAACTTCGACCTGACCTTAGGTCGCGTGTGTCCGTCCTAACCACCGTGGATTTCGCGGAGGCCTATGATCTCATAGCCAGGGCAGACAGCGACTTGAGTGCTTGCATTGAGTATCTGAAGGCAAATAATGTCAGTTCAAGCACTCACCGTCCCATCAGCTCTATCTCAAAAGGAAAAAGGCCCTTCCAGGAATCTAGCAATTCACACTTCTCAAAGAAGGGGAAATCGTTGCAGACGCACTCTGTGGCGTCGGAAAACAAATCAAAAGGTGGAAACACCCATTGTGCGATACATGTGGGAGACATCATCCAGGCGAGTGTTGGCTTGCCCAAGGATTATGTTTAGGTTGCGGCAAACCTGGACATTTTCGAAGGGATTGCCCCACTAATCCTGGAAAACCATTTCCGACAGCCCTAGTTGTCAGCCAATCAGCATCAGCACGACCTGCGCCAAGTCAACGATCAACGGCGGGATCTAACCCGGCCAAGAACCAGAGTCAACAACAGGGACGAGCTCCTGCTCATACTTATGCAATGAAGGCACGAACTGAGGAAAACCCTGACGTCATTTAGGGTATGTTTTCCTTATTTGATTCTGTCATGCATGTGTTGATAGACCCTGGATCAACGTTGTCTTATATCTGTGTACATATGCCTGAAAAAGCTAACATAATGAAAGAACAATTGGAACAACCTATACTAGTGTCTAACCCGTTAGGACATAGTATGAGGTTAGATCATGTGTATCAAGACTGTCCATTGATTGTTGAAGGACATCAGTTCTCTGCCAATCTTGTCGAATTACCGTACAAAGAATTTGACATCATCCTCGGAATGGATTGGCTCACCGAACACCAAGCAATTATCGATTGCCGACGACGAGCAATTCAACTAAAGTCTAGAGAGGGAAAGTCTATAGAGGTGAAAGAGAATCTGACACCTAGTGTTGAGTCACAAAATGTCATATTTTATTCTCTTATTTCTTAGTACTTTTAAGATGTTTTATATGCATTTTATATTTAAATAAGCATGTTTTGTCTTATTTAGCATTTTAGGCCATTGTTACTTTTTATAGATAAAATGCATGATTTTGAGCAAGATTATATTTTACAATTATTTGGAAGCATTATTTTCCTTGACACAATCTTTTTAGATATATATTTTGGAGCTCAAAAGCAATTAAAGGAATAGAAGGATTGGACCAAGCCCAAACATCTAAGAATTAAGCTAGGGGTACCCCATGTTGGTGTACCCCTAGCATTGCCCAACATCTAATTGGCCATCACCCTTTTGACCCAATTGTTAAAGCAGGGAAATAAATAAAAGAAAAAGAAAGAAAGAAACGTAGAAGAGGAAGAGCCCCAGACGCAAGAACCGACCGGATAGCCTTCTTCAACTCCAACTCTAATTTCAAGTCCTAATCCAAATTGAAGACTAAAGGTGGATTAATTTGTGTATAAAAGAAACAAAAAGAATCAGTTACGAGGGGGACGGATAGAGACGTGAGAGCAGTTACGAGAGCAGAGCACGGGAGAGAAGGCCCGGCCTAGGGTTCCGACCCTAGGTCCGGCGACGGTGACTGGAGTCCGATGACAACATTCCGGCGACGGCTTGGGGCTTGACTCTAGCGTGCAGCACCGTACGAAGAACTACCAGGGAGCAATTTTCTCCTTTTTAATTTCATTCTTTAATTAAGACTTTCCAATTTATAAGTTTCTCAATTTATGAATTTGTTTGTCAGTATTAAATATGTTTATTTTCAATTCCATGTTTGTTGATTGTTTAAGTTATATTATAAGTGTTAAATTGTTTGAGTGTTGATGTTGAATTGATCAAAGTTGGTTTATTGATTGATTATTTTCTCCGAAATTATAAAACATTCTTAGCCCAACTTGTTTGATAAAAAGATTGAAACTTTGATTTGGTCATTTTTGTTGGATTAATTTGACTTTGAAGGAATTTTAGCCTTTGCGCTATTGTCAAATCTAAACTCGAAAAGGTGTTTGAAAACAGGTCTTTGTTTAAACTTGGATTAGATCAATTTAGGACGGCCGCCTAAACTCTAATTCCAATTGACAGTTTTAAGATCTTGAGTACGTTTATAGCTGAGATTTTCAAAACACAAGTGTCACCTGGTTAATATCCCACCTGGTTTTTATTAATCAGAGTTTTCAAACTGGCTATATTAAATAGATATAGTCTACTGCATAGTTGTTAAGTGATGTTTTCCAAAGAATTTAATGCTCTATTTTTAATTAAATCTGGGGGCAGGTCCTTGGGTTATTAAGAATAGTAGGGTCTAGAGTTAGGGCAGGTCTTAACAGAGGCTATATTAGGGAGAATAGGGAAGAACCGCAGGTGGATATCTTCTTCAGCTTAACCCTGAGTTTAATTAGCAGTTTAGTTTCAGGATTAAGACATAATTAATTGATTAATCAGATTTGTTCAGTTTATTTTCTATTAAAAACTATAAGTATTTTCAAAATGGTTTAGGTTAATTATTATTTTCTACGTTTTTATAAAGTTTGTTGTGTGATCGTTTTTGTGTGTTTGTTTCTCCCTGAGTGTCTTCCGAGTTCGAGTTGCTGCTGTGGTTTCATTTCGTATCTCTTATCTGTTATCCTTATCTTTATTTTATTTGCATTTTTTATCGTTTTAGAATTATCATTCAAACCCCCCATATCTCTTAGTTTTAGTTTTAGATTTTCGTTAGTTTTTATTCAATAAAAGTGACAAGTGAACTGATTTTCATAGCCTAAAAAGTATCTTTTCTCGTGGGATCGACCCTTACTTGCCCTATCTATATGTTTTGATGAATATTGAATCATAAAGTGGGTTAAAAGTTAAGGAAATAATAAATTAATTTGTAGGTGCTACGACACGCCTAATACCTAGATCCACTGAATTCATCTCGTACATACACACTAGGCGTCTCATTCGAAAGAAATGTGAAGCTTATCTGTGTAACGTACGTGACACACGAAAGGAAACTCCTGAGCTGAAAGACATACCGACAGTATGTGGTTTTTCTGACGTATTTCCTGACGAACTTCCTGGTATACCATCTTCCAGAGAAGTAGAATTTTCCATCGATCTTGTTCCTGGAACAGGACCGATATCTGCAACTCCCTATCGCATGGCTCCTGCTGAAATGAAAGAGTTGAAGGCTCAACTACAAGAACTACTCGATAAAGGATTCATACGTCCGAGTGTTTCCCCTTGGGGAGCACCCGTCCT